TCAACCAATGTTGACCTCGACCTCCCATCCACCCCTGAGGAAACCATCAAGGCTGTACAGCAACTGTCCAGCGGGAAGGCACCCGGGTCCGACGGGATCACGGCGGAGATCTACAAATATAGTGGCCACCAACTCATATCTCACCTCACCACCGTGTTCCAAAAGATGTGGCGACAGTGACATGTTCCTCAGGATTTCAAGGACGCCACAATTGTCCACCTCTACAAGCGAAAAGGGAATCGTCAAGTCTGTGACAACCATCACCGAATCTCGCTGTTGAATATTGCCGCCAAAATCTTCGCTCGCATTCTCCTCAGTCGTCTGAATAATCACCTGGAACAAGGGCTCCTGCCTGAAAGCCAGTGTGGTTTTTGACGTCACCGCGGCACCACTGACATGATATTTGCCGCACGTCAGCTGCAGGAGAAATGTCAAGAGATGCGAACCCACCTCTTCACTGCGTTCGTGGACCTGACAAAAGCCTTCGACATGGTGAACCACCCCGGACTTTGGAAAGTTCTGCAGAAGTTTGATTGTCCGAAGCACTTCACCCACATGGTCCGACAACTCCATGACGGGATGATAGCGCGCGTCACGGACTACGGAATGCTGTCTGAAGCCTTCGCAGTAACCAATGGAGGGAAGCTGGGCTGTGCCCACCCTCTTCAGTCTCATGTTCTCTGCCATGCTGATGGACGCCTACCGTGAAAGCGTCCCGGAATCCACATTAACTACAGAACGGACGGAAACCTCCTCAACGTTCGTCGAATGCAGGCCCCAACGCGCGCCTCCACAACCACAGTCCATGATCTGCTGTTTGCGGACGACTGCGCTCTCAACATCACCACCGAAGCGGACATGCACAAGAGCATGGACCTCTTCGCAGCGGGCTACGACCACTTTGGCCTCACCATAAACACGGACAAAACGGTTGTCATGCATCAACCGCCGCCAGGTGTTGACTTCAACACCGCATGCATCAACGTCAACGGCGCCGAACTACAGAACGTGGAAAACTTCACTTATCTTGGCAGCACGCTCTCACGCAACACTCGAATCGAGGACGAGGTTGCGC